GCATTCTCTTATCTTCCTCTACAATTCATCTTTTCAAGTCTTCTCCGACTTTCTTCATACTTTCGAATTACTAACAGCAATGGCTAACCGTCTGCCAAGAATTATGCAGTCTAAGCAGATTCTTCATCAGTCTAAACTGCTTACTAATCAAGCAGCCTTCACCCCAAGGGATGTTCCAAAAGGATACTTTGCAGTCTATGTTGGGGAAAGCCAAAAGAAGAGATTTATTGTTCCAATTTAATTCTTGAACCAGCCTTCGTTTCAAAAGTTAAGTGTAGCCGAGGAAGAATTTGGATTCAATCATCCTATGGGTGGTCTTACAATTCCTTGCAGAGAAGAGGACTTGGTTGACCTCACTTCCAGCTTGCAGTAGTTGCTAGTGCTAAAACAATTTAATCAGCTGATACAATTTTTAACTATTGATGACTATTGATGTACATCCTTCTGTCGTTTTGGCAGAATGAGATGATCATCTGAGAAATTTTATTAATACAATTTACAGCGGTTCTATTGTCAAATTTCCTCTTGTTATATCCATTTTTCGGTTTATATTGCTAATTTTTCCGGAGTTGTGTTAATAATTGCAATACAGAATGATTCTGACCATAAATTTCTAGAGTCCTTTACAAGATACAACCCCTACAATTTTTGCAATTGATGAACTTGTAGCAGCCAACAGGATAATGGTAGCTTAGGAGCCCGACCACCATTGTCCCCTTAAGTTTAGCTGAAGATTAGAATCCTTTGTCATAACAGACTCAGGCTTTCAACTATGTCAGTCCATTATTTAAGTATCTTAATCCACATCTAACTGTCATTTTTCATTTCCCCTTTTCCCACATGGAATACTCCAATCTTTTGCTGGCCTTTGATTGGTTTTCGTCCAAAATAGCAGGGCTCTCGTTGTTTGTCAACAAACTGACCACAGCTAATATCATACAAGATCATGAGAACAAAACCATTTGAGACTTCTTAAGCAACATCTTAATTAAACTCCAATAATGCTACTCATTTCCTTGTTTTAGATGTTTGGTTTATATAATGTACACGCAGTTGAAAAAAAAAAGGAATTTAACTGTTACATTTCACACCTATAGCATCATTTTTACATTATAGACAGTTAAAATCACTTCACAATAAGCAGGTTCCAATATTAACAACAAAAACCAGCAAACAGAGAGTATTTAACCAGAAATTTCAATGGTTTTGACGTCAGGCTTCTTCATTTCCACCTTGGGGACAGTAACGGTAAGAACCCCATTTTCCATGGAAGCTCTAACTTGATCCATTTTCACGTTCTCAGGAAGCCTGAATCTCCTCTTGAATTTCCCACTGCTACGTTCGACCCGGTGCCAAGTATCAGTCTTGTCTTCCTTGTCAACATTCCTCTTTCCGCTGATCTGAAGTACATTGTCTTCTTCAATCTCCACTTTCACTTCTTCTTTCTTAAGCCCAGGGAGATCAGCCTTGAAGACGTGAGCTTCTGGGGTCTCCTTCCAGTCGATTCGGGAGTTGACGAATGCAGAGGCATCGGAGGTTTGGCCGCTGGTGAGTGAAGAATGAAAGGAAAGTCCTTGAATGGATCCCAAACATCAATCGGGAAAGGATCGAAGATGCTGCTCCTTTGGTTGCCGAACAAACTCGGGATCATCGCCATTTCTCTTGAAGTACGAAACAAATACAAGTTGAACGAGGGAGATTCCAACTAAGAGCAAATATCTGAGTGTGCTTTCTGATACTAAGGAAAGCGGATAAGTTGAGTATTTATAGGAAGCTTAAGAGGAATCTGGTATTTTCTGGTACCTGTGTTAGTACAGGAAAGATTGAGAATTAACTAGAATCATCTGGACTTCTTTGTATTGGACCTCTCATACTTTTTGTTTAACAGCTTATTGGGCCACCTTTAAGAAACATGCACAAGCCCAATAATTTTTATTTAATATTTTAGTGTATAGTATAAATAATTTAAAATTAATTTGAGTTACACAAGCTATTCAAAATATTGTGATCTACATATGGGTTTAAATGAACAAAACGTTCGATGAACTATTCATACATTATTCATATAATGCTTGTTTATGTTCGTTTATTAAGTTAAAAAATTAATATAAATAAAATATTTATTTTCATTTAATAAACGAAAGAACATTAACATAGGCATGTTTGGTTCGTTTATGTTCACAAACAAATTCATTTATTGGCTTGCTTATTTTTTTCGACTAGTTTACAACGTTTACTCGGTTCTCTTTTTTCTTTTATTTTTTATATTTTAAATATTGAAGGTAGAAACTAAATTATCATAAGACGAATTTTAGAGCTCAAAATATGAAACCTAAAGAAATTAAGAACTAGTTGTGTAATTTCACAATTTTTCTTTGGCTCACAAATAAAATGAAAAAAGAGGGTGCTGGTTGACTAATATTAAAGGAATGTTAAATTAATAAGTTAACGAACATTAATTAAAAATGTTGGCCAACTCTAAACGAACAAACACTTTCAAAAATAAATAAACGAGATTAAATTTAAGGTTTAGGGAATACGAACACGATATGAAAATTTAAACAAACGTTATATTTCATGTTTATGAACGTTAAACTAACGTGTTCATAGACATTAGATGAACATATTTATGAACACTAAACGAACAAACACGAACATCTTCAAAGATAAATAAGTAAATATAGGACTTAAGGTTTAGATAACACAAACACAATTCTGAAAAATTAAGCAAACACGAACATAAAACCGTTAAATTGGGTGGTGTTACAATTCCTTGCAGAGAAGATGTCTAATTCGTTGATCTCACTTTAAGTTAGCAGTAGTTGCCTAGTGCTAAAACAACTTAATCAGCTGATACAATCTTTGACCATTGATGTGCATCCTTCTGTTGCTTTGGCAGAAAGAGATGATAAGATGTATACTCTTCTGAGAAATTCTATTAATACAAACGCCAGCGATTCTATTCTCAAATTTCCTCTTGTTAAATCCATTGTTCAGTTCATATTGCTCATTTACAAAACCAGAAAAAAAATATTAAGGTTCTATTCTGAAATCATCTATCTAAAGGATCCATAAGAAAGCAGAAGGCACAAATCTCTTTGGGTTTCGATTTGGCTAATTTTTTTTTCTACATTTGGTTGGGCATCAAACCTTTCATTTGGCACTACATAGATGAGTTTCATATCTATAGAATGTGAATCATTAATAATGTTTACTTTTTCAGCATCCACAGTCATAGTTTGTTTGTTTCTCGAACTCGTCCACCGACATCTTTTCGGAATGGATTGTTTCATTACTACTCAGAGATGTGAAGGAATTCAAATATTTCTACATCTTCATTATATTCGTATGCACGAGCTCGTATTGCTAAGCCTGGACGACATATTAGCGTGATTGACGGGGCAGAATCAACAGTTCAAATCTTGCACCGACCAGTAAATCTTTAGTAGCCCTGTAATTTTTTACACTTTCACTCTCAGATCAAATTGGTTTTGCAGCAAAGGCACATGGTGGCATAGTAATCTAACTGTGAGTGTGACATGAACTTTCTAGTCTTTTGAAAAACACCAGTTTTTACTGAGTTAAATGCTCCTGGAAGCTCTTTAGATTTATGATACATTGCAGGTTACCTGTTCAGATTTCTGATTTATTAGGATCAAATAATGGCCAATGAGTGCTTATTGTTATGCTGCATGCAGATCATAAATGAAACATTTTGAAGTAGCCGGTAAAGGGACGAAACACGACTTGAGGGACTGAAAAAATATTCCTGGAGAGCTTGAGGGGGCAAGAGTAACATGGCCTTCATGTGATGAACAAAAGCCAAAGTCCTTTTCAACTATAAAAGAGAGAGTAATATATATCATTCTCAGAGACCTACCTTGCCTCAACAAAAGCACCGTATTTCGAGAGATCGACCGTGGGCCTTTCTCGTCTCCTGTTTGTTTCTTCGACCATTGTCTCTCCCACCCAATCTCATTCACAGAACATGCAAGTGTCTTTCATAGATTATGACCTATGGGGTAACTTGTTTGCTGTAGTTTTTGTTCGTTGTTGTTACTCTAAATCCAGCATTGATCTCTCAGACAATGATGTCATTAGTACTACAAAAAAAATGAAACTTTATGTTGCATATTAGTGGAATTCCAGATGGCATATCCATCAAGACCTTCAAATTAACCAATCTATAGGAAAGAACAAAAAGGAAAAAAAACAGGACATTGCCGTATCAGACATATGACATATCTAGCCATTTTGAAACACTTTGTGAGCCTTAGAACATGGAACCAAGCTAGGCTATGAAGATATCAATAGTGTGTCACAATTGAAGTATACCAATTAATAAATGTCTCTAAAAAAAACTATAAATATTTTCCCTATTTAAGTGGTGGAGATTTCATCTGGACCACATACAAAAGAACCCCATCTGCCCCTTGGGGACATTCTCTCCAAATTGCTGCACCCAACACTCAAAGGAGCTCTTATGCCCTGGCAGGCTTCGCTTAATTTCTTTTTGTTGATGAAATATGGCTGAATTGACACGGTGACCATGTAAAAAGAATGCAACTCTATGATCAAAACCTGCAAATCTAACAGTATAAACCACATGGGTTTCTGCAACAACTTTTGGATGACTCAGAGTCTCAGACCACAGAATCACAAGCTGAAACAATCAGAAAATTCCAAAAACCAACCAAACCGCTGCATAGTACTCTCCGGTACACTAATTACACGTCCACATGTATTTCGAAATAGTGTTGTGTTTATCGTTATCAAGTTGCGATTGTTATCTACGATATCAACATTAGAGGTTAGTTAATACTTAATAGAGAGAGAGGGTCCATGTTGTCATTAGGACATATAACACATACATACCCAGAATAACACCTATAGGTTGTCCCTTTCGGCTTAGCCCCCACAGTCCCACATGACTCCTCAGGCTCTCTATCCATAAATAAACAACCTTCCATTCTCTCCTCTCAATCCTCCCAGTTCCCACAACAACTCTTGCTAAAGCATTTCAACATACAACAGCAATGGCAATTCGAAAACCATCCAGACTTCCTCAAACAGCAGTTCTGAAGCAGATCCTGAAGAGATGTTCAAGCCTAGGCAAGAAACACGGGTACGACGACGACAGTCTCCCACTCGACGTACCGAAAGGTCACTTTGTTGTTTATGTAGGCGAAAACAGGAGCCGATACATCGTCCCGATCTCGTTCCTGACGATCCCCGAGTTCCAATGCTTGCTTCAACGAGCCGAGGAAGAGTTCGGGTTCGACCATGATATGGGACTCACTATCCCTTGTGAAGAAGTAGTTTTTCGCTCTCTTACATCTATGCTTAGATGAAGGAAGGGACTGCCATTGCCTTGGAGAAAGATGGTCAAAGAGAAGCATAGCACCATAGATATTTTATAGCTAGTTTCTCTTTTTTTTAGCATCATTCTTCAATGTGCATCTTGATCTTGGACCCCATCAATTTGGATTTTGCGTTTGATTAATTAGTCATTAGTGACTCTAACTTAAACCTTGGAATTATGAACATTTTCTGGGTTGAATATTTGTAAAAAGCTATGTTTTTCCTCACAGATTGTGCAACTGTGAGAGAAAAGTTGAATGTTATAAGGGAAAGCCTTATTTAAGCTCCGTCTCTCTCTCTCTCTCACACACTGTTTATTTTCATGCAAATCATGAAATCAAGTAAAGCTTTTTGGTAGCTTAGCTTAGGTAGGGAAAAAACATCCTCGAACCAAACTAAAAGTGTACATGCAAGAAAAACTTAAGAATCTACCGGATGGACCGTAGAGAGTTGATAGACAGTTATTCCTTAAAAAAAATTAAATTCTTATATTTTAAATTTTTTATTAATAATCTAATTTGTCTACTGAAATTTTATAAATTTATTCTCTATTATAAAATTTTATGTCCATCTCTAACCAAGTCAATCGTTAGAAAACGTGGAACCACGAAATTCTTTTTACTTTTTTTTTTTTTCCTTTTTTTCATGCCAAGTGAATCAAAATTATTTTTTTATTAATATGGGATAAGTACATGACAATATATGTTAACTCTCAACCTTTCGACATTGAACGCTCACACCCTGACATCTATGGTGCTCAAATCCGGTCCTTATGAATAACAACACTTCCTTTACCACAGAGTCACTTAGTTCGTGCAAAGTGAATCAAAATTAAAAGTTTATGAATAGGATGGAATATGGGTTTTCTAGTTTTTAACCTAACTTTTTAAATCCCCTTTGATTTTTTGACGTCGGTGGTCTTTCAAATACCAATAATAGGGAGGTGGAAAAAGAACAAACAAGTAATATATTTTGATTTTATGATTATTATATGGTAGAGATTATAGGTTAGAGTATTTTTTAGGTTTTGAGTTGGAGTTTTATAAATTTTAAAAAGATTTTAAGAAAAATTTAAACTGATAAAGTAACACGAAACGATAAAACTGGTTCATTAATATTGTAGTGATCGAAAAAGATTAAAAAAACGATAATATCAACAATAACATCATATAAAAGTGAAACTCTAAGGACTTCAAAATAATTTGCCGCTTTCTTTTAGCCACCAACTTGATATCCACAGCTATATTTATTCAACAATAACTACTCTTAACAGACTTTCTTATCCATAAGAAATATTCAATATATCTGATGCTAACATAGAAAATTCCAGTTTGAGAAACTAACTCCTTCCTCAGAAAAAAAATCTTTCAACCCCATTACCATTACTGCTCATTGTTGCTCCATGCCTATTAACAAAGATGGATCGAGGGAAGCGTGTGTTTGTCCTTGAAAATTTTAAATTTTTATATATTTTAAGTATTTTTATATTTTTTATTAATAATATGTTTTCCTCCTTAAAATTTTTTAAATTCGCCCATCTAAAATAAAATCATCGGTCCGTTATCGCTCACATCTTACAGTGTATCAGAATACTTATTCTCATCAGTTAATATTGTAGTATTATTTTTACAGAAAAAGAATTACCCCACCTGAAAGGTGGAAGTACATTATAAAATTACCCGACACATGAAAACAGTGAATTGCAGAAAAATGAGTTGGATGTGCAGGGATACCCAGTTGGCTGCGTGTTTACTTTCAACTGTTTGTCTCCTTTGCTTGCCCCCACACCCCATGTTCTACATGAATTAATTCATGGGAGCAAAGCAACCCTAATTTAGACCCGTTGCTTTCATGAATAATAAGTGCCAACGACCAAACTAAATTTATGATTAGAGGGTTGTTCAACGATCAAATTAATGATTAAACATGTCTCGTAACCACAACAGTTATCACTTTCAGACATGCATATTGTATATATCCACAGAGAGCAAATGACAATTTCAAAAGTTGAATCTATGGATTATTGTTGATTTTGAGTGAATTTTATATTAAAAAAAATTAATGTGGGCAGAAGAAAGATTAGAGAAATATGAATGTTTTAGTATTTGATATTGTTGTCAGTGGAAGATCTAGAAATATTTCTTTCGGTGAAAATACATATATTAACAATAGAAAATTTTATATATTGTGAAAATAAATAAAATTTTAAGGTGGACACAATAAAATATATATATAATTGTTAGAAAAAAAAATCAAATCTAATGCCCATCCTCACACTATCACACAAATGTACCTCCGCCACTGCTTGTTGGACTAATGACATATGACAATTGATCAACAATAATGATGGAAAGAATTGACAATTTTATGTAGAAAACAAAGAAGATAATAACTACATCTTTATGCCATTAGACTATATCATTATATCGTTTAAATACGTTATTATGTCGTTAATAATGTAAGGCCCAATAATAAAAATATCAATTCAAAGAATTTAATAATAAAATTAAAATGTATATAATATAATGATTAAAACAAGATAATGCCTAAAATTAATTGAACAATAGTAAAATATGGAGCTTTTTTACTGAAAAATAAAACTATAGGGACTAACATCATAATTTGATATATATTACTTCCATGAGTTGAAGAGTTTAATGAGGTTAGCTTATATAGGCATATTGGAGTGTTTATATTATGTTTCTGGACAATGTGACATAAAAACTAAAAGGTGTATTTCTTGACAATGTGTTTAGGTTATGTTTTCATGAGTTACTTTTGATCGTTTTCATTACATTTTTATTTCAATTACATACATATAAATGTTTAGCTTATATAGGCATATTGGACTGAGATCAGCTTGAAATCATTAGCCATTTTAGTCTTAACACTTGAATTTATGGGTTTTATAGAGGGAGTCAATAACCATTTTAAAATTTTCAAGAGAGACACTCCATCTCTATTCGGTTCCAACAGCCTGAATTGTGCTCTGAGATAGACCAGCTCTGTCACAATTCTCAATAGAAAATGATAGAATTAGGGATTTCAGAAAATGAAGAAAGTATGAAGAAGAAGAATTGCATTGAAATCTCAACATAATTTCTCAATTACAATTTGTTGCATATATTTAATAACAACAACCAATTATTTGTTTACAGCTGTCAGTGCTTTTGTCATGTAGTCTAACTATTTTCTTTATGCTAGATTCCTTCAACAGATTACTTCTTGGGCTCACGGTTGGGCTGCCATCACTCAAGAGTCTTCAATTGCTTTGGTCTCTCCTTTGGCCCACTCCAATTCCACGTTCCCATTAGCTTATTATCTCCTTTAGCCTGCTCCAGAATTACATTCCCATCAGGTAAATCAATCGATCCCTCTTTCTCCCAAATCCCTAGCCTCTGAGTTCCTAATTCTTTGAACCCTAGTTTCATCTCTCCCCAAATCTCTTCTCCATTTCACCTGCCACCATGACAATACCCCCCTCTACAGACGATCCTTGACCCCAAGGATCAAACCCTAGAAACTAGTTCGTAAAACCGTGTAATCTTCCCATGTAGCATCCTCCTTCCCCAAGTCGTCTACTGAATCAGAAATTGGGTAACATCCTGATTATTGCGCTTCACAATTCTTTTAGCCAAAACAGCAGCTGAATATACTTTTAACTGGCCTTCAGCATCAATCTCCGGAGGATCAAACGAGGTAATCTTTTGTTCACCAACCTTTTTCTTTAAGAGACTAACATGGAACACAGGGTGGACTTTCGAATGATCAGGTAATTGTAATTTATATGCTACTGACCCCACTCGTTCAATTACTGTGTAGGGACCAAAAAATCGAGCAGCTCATTTAAGGTTTTTGCGAAGTGCTAAGGATGTTTGCTGATATGTCTGGAGTTTAAGGTAAACACTATCCCCCACCTGAAATTCCTTATCTGTACGCTTCTTGTCTGCATATGCTTTCATTCTTGACTGAGCATTCTGTAACTGTTCTTGCAAAATTTTGTTCATGACATCTCTCTGTTCTAATAACTCTTGTACTGTCTGCACCATTGATTGACCACCCCAAGATAAAACCTGAGGTTTGTAACCATACATAGCTTCAAATGGAGTCACACCTAAGGCAGTGTGATAGTTGTTGTTATACCACTATTCTGCTTGTGGTAACCAATCAACCCATATGGATGGTTTAAGAAAAAAAATACTCCTCAAGTACTGCTCAACACACTGATTTACTCTTTCAGTTTGGCCATCCGTTTCAGGATGATAGGCAGTGCTGAAGTGAGTTTCTGTGCCAACCTGTTTCATAAATTCCTTCCAAAAAACACTTGTAAATAATTTGTCTCTATCTGACACAATAGACTTATGATGGCCATGCAGTTTATAAATATTAGCCAAATAGAGTTTTTCCAAATCAGCTGCTGTGTAGGGATGTTTTAAAGGAATGAAATGGCCATATTTAGTAAACCTGTCAACAATTACCCAAATGCAAGTAAATTTCTTTGAATATGGCAACCCTTCAATGAAATCCATAGAAATCATATCCCAAGCCTGTTGTGGAATTAGTAGTGGTTGTAATAGACCAGTCTTGTGAGAATGGTCAGCTTTAGTCATCTGGAAGACCTCACACTGAGCAATAAAGTCTTTAATCTGTTTTTTTAATTTTGGCCAATAAAAATAAAGTTGAGCTCTATAGAAAGTAGCCTGAATACCTGAATGTCCTCCCAAAGGAGATGCAAGTAAAAGGGTCAAAATTTGTTGCCTCAATTCTCCAGTTTCACCCACATAAACCTTCTTATTAAATCTCAGAACTCCTTGAGTAAAAGTCCATTGACTGGTTGCATATGAGCAAATACTCAATTCTGCAATTTTAGCCTTTGCAAAGTCATCTTCTGCATAGCTTCTTTCAAGGTCCTGAACCCACTGTGGAATAATAGATGTTACAGTCAACTGCTGTAATTCAGCTTTATTTTTTCTAGATAAAGCATCTGCAGCCAAATTACTTCTGCCTTTTCTGTAAAGAATTGTATAATCTAACCCCAAAAGCTTTGTAAGTCATTTCTTTTAGATAGAAGTAGTGAGTCATTGTTCCAAAAGATGTTTAAGTGCTTCATGATCTGTTTTGATGACAAAAGGAATTCATTCAAAGTAATGTCGCCACTTAGTTACTGCCAAAAGAATAGCTAAATATTCCCTTTCATAGACAGATAAATCAGCATGTTTAGGACTTAAGGCCTTACTTAAATAAGCTATAGGACGTCTATCTTGAGATAAAACAGCTCCAATACCAGTTGAACTCGCA